GCCAACATGGTCTGGGAGGTTTTGGGAATTCTCCCCTTTCCTTAGATGAGTTCCGTAGGAGTTAAAAGTCACAGCTGCAACTTTACTTTGAAGCAAGTATAACATTAATCTTAGCTAAAATACATTTGACGTCTCATTATCCAAGCCAGATCACCTTCCACACAGGAAGCACTGCTGGGCGGCTCTGTGCTCTGGGGCGCTCCGACCCTCTGGCCCAGGCTACTATTTTTTCTCGTGGACAGCTGTGTGAAAGGCACCATTTTCTTCCTTACATTCTTAGGTGCCCTAACGAAAGCGAGATAGCAGGTTCGGGGTCAGTAAGGGTCAGCTGAAAACTTTCCACTCTCTTAAGCAAGCAAGCATAATACAAAAGCTAATGGCTGGTTATTTGCTGCTTATGGTCTCTAGGCCCTAACAGTTTTGTTTTTACTCTACAATTTATTTCTTGAAAAACAGAGGCCTTTGTCCTATAGAGTCTTCTGGAGTCAGGACTTTGCGGATTGCACTCACAGTGCAGTTCAACATGTTCGTCTGTTCCCCGTATTTCCTATAAATTGGCAGCTGGATTTTTTTCTTTTTTAAGAGATGGGGATCTCACTATGTCGCCCAGGCTGACTTGAACTCCTGGGCTCAAGGGATCCTCCCACCTCAGCCTCCCAAGTAACTGGCACTACAGGCGCGTGCTACCACCCCCGGCTTGGATCTTGAGGTTGGATCAGACTTAGGTTTGATCCTTTTGGCAGCATTTTAGATGGTGGTGTGGTCTTCCCTCGGGAGGCACATAACGTCTGGGTCTCTTTTTCTGATTTTAGGAGGTGTTGATGTATAATGCCTATATTCATTCACAGAGGTTTACAAAATCGGGATATTCTATCATTTCCTCTTTACTTAATAGTGGAATACTTTTATGTAGATTCGCTTTCCCTTATTTTCTATTTGGTTACTTAACTTTAACTTTTAAAAGTTCCTTTATAGCAGCGATCCTGCAATCATCTTCATAGCCTTTTTGGGGTCCTATACCTTTGGACTGGCTAGATATTTATCGAATTTAGAGATGAGACATTTCCTTTAAATGAGACTGAAAGACACGCTGGAGCCATACGTAGAGCAAATGGAGTGCAGTGGATGTCCACAGGCGTGATCATAGTGTACTACAGCCTCAAACTCGTGGGCTCAAGCAAATAAGGTTTTAATAGCAAATTCCAGCCACTAGAAACTTATAATTCTTGATTTTCTGGTTGATTATATAGTCAAGGTACAGTCTTTGTTTCCTGATGATCATTAGCCTTTATAATTTTCATGAAGAGTTTTTTTTTTTTT